AGTTTGGGGAATCTGACCCATATTGGATTAATGCTTTGAAGAAGGTTTTGGAGAGAAAAAAATTGAGATCTCAGTTGTTATATGTGAAACCGTGGTTTCATGTTCAGTGGTTTGACCCCTTTCCCCCAAGAAGTTCTAGAGTTTTGTATGGGAAAGAAGAAGAACCATGGACAGTTGTGTGGCAGGAAGGTGATGAGGCTAGATTGGAAGATTTGAAGAGATCTTTGATTCAGGCTCCAGTCTTGAGCTTGACAGATTTGAAAAAACCGTTTCACTTGTTTGTAGCAGTGGAGGATGGTATTGCTAAGGGAGTGTTAGCTCAGGCTTCGGCTGGCAAGAAGAAACCTATAGCTTTTCTGTCTAAATTAATGGATATGGTGGTGAGAGGTTAGCCCTTGTGTGTGCAAGCAGTAGCAGCAACTACTTTATTGGTTGAGGAGAGCCGAAAGTTGATGTTTGGTGGTGCATTAGTTGTGAGTAGCCCACACCAAGTAAGGACAATCTTGATGCAGTAAGCACATAGAGGGCTCACGAAGGCAAGGCTTCTGAAATATGAGGTAATTTTATTGTCCCAGGAGAATTTGGTTCTTTCTACTGATAGGAATTTAAATCCAGCAGAATTCTTGTCAGGAGAAAGGAAGGAATGGGATAATATAGAGCACGACTGCATAGAAGCTATAGATTTACAAATGAAGGTCCGAGAAGATTTAGAGGATAGTCCACTAGAGGGCGGTATTAACCTATTTATTGATGGTTCTTCCCGGGTTGAGAATGGGAAAAGACTGAATGGTTATGCAGTTGTGAATGGGGATACCTCTGAAATATTGGAAGCAGGGAAGTTGCCATCTGAATAGTCGGCACAGACATGTGAAGTTTTTGCTTTGTTGCAAGTGTTGCATTTAATAACTAATGAAGTAGGAAACATTTATACTAATTCAAAGTATGCTTATGGTATTTTACATACTTTTGGTAAAATCTGGATTGAACGGTGTCACTGCGTTATTTTATTTACCAGCTGAGCTCATTACTTCTGGACTGTCAGACTCTCCGTAGCTTTGCCAACTTCTTATCAGTAAGCTACGTGTTTCCGTATCCACCCACATTCCTTCTCACACTCTTTCCTTTGTTCTTTTTCCAGCAAGGTCCGGCTAAGAGATAGCCGGCCCGAATTACTTTCAAAAATGTAACAATTAACTTTTCTTAGTTAGTGAGGTGTTTTATTTTCTTTATAACAAATAAATGAGTTTTATTAGAAACTTTTCCTCGCGTTTCTTTTCAAAATATTACAACTTGGAATAAGCCACGATACATCTCCTCAAAACCAGGGTAATTAGTCCCAGAGCCAAACATGGGATTAATAAATGCCCTGACAAACGGGGATTGATTTCTAGTAAGAGAAAGGAATTAAAGCAAGTTGATCTTATAACAGCTGTTCTGAAGGCAGCTGAAGGCCCTACCAAGCTTGCTATTATACATGTTGAAGCACATAAAAAGAGGACTTCGAAATTGATTGTGGGAAATAGAATGGCCGATGAAGCGGCTAAAGAGGCAGCTTTGGGAGGAGATGCTATTATGATTTTAGTTCCTGCATTAACCTTTGATATAACTCCAGTATTTACCGCTGATGAAAAACAACAAATGGTGAATGAGGGAGTGCGTTAGGTGAATGGAAAATGGATGACTAAAGAGGGAGTGCAAATTCTTAACAAGGCTGTGATGAGGAATGTGATTGAACGAGTGCATGAGGGAACTCATTGGGGAACGCAAGCACTTATTGATTTCATTAAATGTACATATGTATGTAGGGGTATGTATACAATAGCTATGCAAGTAGTACGGAAGTGTATACATTGTGTAAGAATAAATAAGAAAGTTATGAGGAAACAACCAAGGGGAGGTAGAGACTTAGCTGTCTGGCCTTTCCAACATATCCAGGTGGATTATACAGAAATGCCAGCAGACTAATAAATATTTATTAGTCATAGTAGATCATTTGACTGGATGGGTTGAAGCTTTTCCGTGTGCAAGGGCAAATGCTCAAATGACTGTTAAGATCATATTGGAACAATTGATACTACGATATGGTTTAATTGAATTCATTGATAGTGATAGAGGTACACATTTTACGGCCCAGGTAATGCAACAGGTAATGAATCAATTAGGAATTGATTGGCAATTTCATTTAAGTCACACGCCGGAATCTTCTGGCCGCGTGGAGAGATTTAACCAGATGATAAAATCTACGTTGAAAAAATTAATGTTAGAACTCCAACTATCCTGGACGAAATGTTTGCCTTTAGCTCTAAGAATAAGAACTAGCCCTAGGAAGGATCTGGGAATATCTCCATATGAGATGATGTTTGGGTTCCTGTATACGGGGAAGGTTGGGATGCCTAGAATAGAACTGAAAGATGTTTTTCTGCGAAAATATATACAAGGACTGACCCAGTGTTTTTCTTTTTTAAGGTCCAAAGGACTATTGGCAGAGACTCCATCTCTTGATTTCCAAGTACATGAGTACAAAAGCGGAGACTGGGTCCTGATAAAAGCCATTAAGGAGAAGAAATTGCAGCCGGTGTGGGAAGTTAGTTAGTTAGTTTATTATATTTATATACCGCCCTTCTCCCGAGGGACTCAGGGTGGTGAACAGCCATGGTAAAAACAATATACAACAAAAATTAAAAGCTTATTAAAATAATTCAATCATTCGGCCAAATTTAAAACATCCAACTAAAATCATTTTAAAACCCCTATCAAAACCCAATTTAAAAAACCTTTATCCTGTCAGACCAGCTTGCTGGAATAATAGGGTCTTCAGAGCATGATGGAAGGCACGGAGGTCGGGGATCCTTCGTATGTCCAAGGGCAGTTCATTCCATAGGGCCGGGGCTCCCACAGAGAAGGCTCTCCCCCTGGGGGTCGCCAGCCTACACTGTTTGGCTGACAGCACCCTGAGGAGGCCCTCTCTGTGGGAGCGTATTGGTTGGTGGGAGGCAATCGGTGGCAGAATGCGGTCCTGTAGATAACCAGGTTATCCTGGTTATCCTGGATAACCAGGGAAGGACCGTTTCAAGTGTTGCTAACCACTGATTCGGCTGTGAGAACCAAGGAACGAGGCTGGGTGCATTATTCTAGAGTGAAAGGACCAGTGGCTTCACCTTATGGATGGACAGTTGCTACAAAACCTACAAATCCTCTTGACTTTTCGACGACAAACCTTAGACAATTGATGACCAACGGATGGAAGAAGAAATTTGTATTTGGCTGGGAGTAATATCACTTTTTGCTGTGTTTTTGATTGTATTAAGATAAGATATAATTGATTGGTGTAAATCTATGCTTTGGTATCCAGTGGATGTAAATTCCCCTTGATTGATTGACACTTTGGTGGTAAGATAATAAAATTTTATTTTTCTGGACAATAAACTGGGGGTGGAGGGCTAGTCCACTAAGAAGATGGGGTTCATTGTGGTAGTGTTTATTATACTACAGGTGCAGATAGGGATGGGAATTTTGGATGTGTTGCCTAGTTACCCTATAACATGGCAACAGCTATGTTTCCATTCTGAACTTGAGCACTGTTATTCCCTTATAGAAACACCACTGACCCTGATAGACAGCGCTGAGGAGGCTGAGATATGTATAAAATCATCTTTTGGGGATGGTATACCGTTGGGCAGATATGCCAAGTGCAACCGTACATATGAAATAGCCCCTAAATACATTGATCTTTCAAATCTCCACCCCAAACCACCCCAACGATGCCTTTGAAGTGATGTCCCAGTGTCTGGAGGCCGTACAGGTCTGGATGGGGAGGAACAGGCTTCGACTCAACCTTTCCAAGATCGAGTGGCTGTGGATGCTGGCATCCCGATATAGCCAGCTGGTGCCAGCCCCCAACTGCACTGGCTCCCGGTGGTCTTCCGGGTGCGCTTCAAGGTGTTGGTTCTCACCTTTAAAGTGCTCCATGGCTTAGGGCCAGAGTATTTACGAGACCGCCTTCTGCTACCGATAACCTCCCACCAGCCAATACACTCTCACAGAGAGGGCCTCCTCAGAGTGCCGTCAGTCAAGCAATGTCAGCTGGCGGCCCCCAGGGGGAGAGCCTTCTCTGTGGGAGCACCCGCCCTCTGGAACAAGCTACCTCCCGGAATATGGCTGATCCCGGATCTCTGCACTTTCCATAAGGCCCTGAAGATGTTTTTATTTCAGCAAGCCGGCCTGGCCTGAATAGGTTTTATGGGTTAGTTTTTAATTGTATAGCTTGGGGTTTTAAATTGGGAGGCTGATTAATTTAATTTATTTTTAGTTATCTTAACTTTTATATTGTATGTTATTTTAATTTTCGGCTGTTCACCGCCCTGAGTCCCTTCGGGGAGAAGGGCGGTATATAAATTCAATAAATAAATAAAATAAAAATAGAATGGAATTCTTATACAATCAATGCACTGAGCGATATGGCAATTATACCCCTTAATATAAAATGTTTCAGATTTTGGAAGAAGGATTACATTTTCCATATTTAGAGTTAAAAGTTCTAAGTTGATGTTCTTATGTGGTAACATGGCATTGCCCAAATTACCTTTTGTATGGAAGGGACGAGGCACTGTTGGGTACCTTAAAACACCTTTATGATAACCTATAACTGGAAGGAGAGGCAATCTTTACATAATGTTGAGAAACACTGGCCTATTGATTTTCCAGATGAGCAGGACACATTGACCCTAAGAAGTTTTTATTTCCCACCTAGGTTACTGCCAGAAAGATGGGAGAAAGAGAAACATGGAAATGCTGCATTCTAAAGTTAAAGTTTTACAAAGGAAATGAAGAGTAACATGGAACAAAATGTAAACATTACTTTTAGTTAGATGGAATGTACGCTAGGTGGCATAGTCAAGAAAATCTAAATAATTAAAAGCCCAAAATTATATAGGATTGGACTGTTAAACTTGGTGTCAAAGTAATAGTCCCATAGCAAACAAAACTCCGAGGCAGGTGAATTCCTCAAAGAATAGCTTTATTGGAAATATCATATTGGCACAGATCTGGTGAAAACCGACTTTGAAGGTTCCTGTGGTTTTCACTTAATTAAAACAGAAAGTTTTCCGGACTTCCGGTTGACGTCACACCGAGACGGTGTTGGACTAGCGGGGCTCCGTGAAATCCAGCTGATTCTTATCTGCCAGGAGGTCCTCCGGGGCCAAAGTCACCCTGGAGGGGTCACAAAGAAAGTAAGGACCCTTCATCGATTGTGAGGAGATGGTAGTCCCCTCGCTTGATCCGAAGGAACTTTTCTGACCAGCAGGAGAGAAGACAACCATGAGATAGGATAGCTGTTGATAGGAGGGAGATGAATAGATTCACATTAATAATAAAAGATAAGGAAGAAACAGAATATTTTTTAACATGGGATATGTTTTATCAATGGTTGAATAAAAGAGAGAGAAATTAGAAGATGATATACTTACATATATAAGTAAATGATGTAAGAACGTTACTACAGTAAGTTATTAATATTTTAACTATGATTGTTATTATAATTCACATTACTAGTTTATTAATACTTTGTACAATCAAATTGATCCAGACAATACATGTTATTAAGCACATATGTATTTTAAAGAAGAAAAAAAATGTATAAATATTTTTTTAAAAGGAAGAAGAGAGATTATGTTTTATTTAGAGAGGGTGGTAAATTGCTAAAATTGTTTTTACCTGCTGGGATGAAGGGAGAAGTTACTTTTTTTTCTTTTCTTTTTTTCCCCCATTTCTAACACTCCATTTTCATGCCCTTTGGTAGTTGGTATTTTTATGTTTGTATTTTTTGTCATATGCATTGACTTTTATTCTTTTCATGTATAATTCTTAATAAAATTATTTGGAAAAAAAAGAGAAAACTTTCCCACAACCTCAAACAATTAATCACATGGTCCAATCAAGACACGGTCTGGTTGTCTGGTGACCTCACTCCTCCTTTCACGGTCCAGGTGTGAGAATGTCCTTGGTTCTCATGAGAAAGTATTTTATTTTGGCTACACAATCCCTCCTATCTCTAATCCCCCCTCCTTTTTCCTCAGCTCCAGTGTGGCAACACTGAAACTCCAATATGGCTCCAGTGAGGTCAGCTTCAGGGTTGACAGCAGGGGTGAAATGCTCCCAGTTCGGGTGAGTAGGTAGCGATGGCGGCGGGCAATTAGGAGAACCGATAGCAAAAATCCCTGTCCCCGCCCCCCCATGCCCAGCTGAGCCATGCGATCATCAGAGCCTTTTTTTTCTTTTAAATGGCTCTGACGAGCCAAGCTCTGATGATCCCAGCTGAGTTGCCTGCTAACTGGTAGCAAAAATCCCTCCTCCCCCCAGCCTCCAGCTTGCTTACCTTAACTGCTGGTCACAATACCTGCCTTGCTTCGCTTGCTGTAATACCTGCAATCAACTGCATCAGTGAGCAACTGAATCTCCCTGTCTGCAATCAAGCTCATCGGTGAGCAGCTCTATCTGCCTGCCTGCCTGCCTTGTACCTTCTATTGCAGGGGTCTCTAACCTTGGCAACTTTAAGACTTGTGGACTTCAACTCCCAGCAAAGCTGGCTGAGGAATTCTGGGAGTTGAAGTCCACAAGTCTTAAAGTTGCCAAGGTTGGAGACCCCTGTTCTATTGGGTAAGTTTTTTTCCCCTTTGGGAGCTTTAAAAAAAATAGTTAATTGGGTTTTTTTTTTAGTTGTTCTTTTTTTAGACCTAGCCATTTAAAGTTTAGGAAGTTTTAAATTTAGCTGCTTTTATATAAAAATAAATAAAAATAAAATAATATTTGTGCAGCTTTCTGAGATTTAGTGTGTTTCTGTAGTGTTTCACTCTAACTACAAAAACACACAAAATCTCACAAAGCTGTATGTGGAATTTTGTGTGTGTAAAGTGTGAAAGTTGGGTTTTTGGGCTTTTTGTGGCTGTGTGAGGTTCCTGCTTCTTGCAGGGGCCATTTTGAGTCTAGCACAGCTGCTTTTACATTGTGGGTGAGCCAGTTGTGTTGTGTTGTGTTTTGTAGGTTAAAAAAGGGCAAAGAAGTGACATTGACTTGGCCAGGCCCACCCAGTCACCTTACCATCAAGCCCCGCCCACTAATTAAGCCACGCCCACAGAACTGGTAGCAAAAAAATTTAGATTTCACCCCTGGTTGACAGGCTGCCCTCCCTCAGTTGAAGAGGACTTCCTGCAAGACAAAAACATACAGGGAGAAGTTAGTCAGGGCTTACCCCTTCCTCCCCCCGGAGGCCCCTTAGGTTTCTGGGATAAGTCATCATGAAACTGTTTGACCAATTTACCTGCCTTCACATCCCAGCTCTTAATCCAGGTAGCTTCGGAGAGGGGGTATCCCTTCCATTGCACAAGGTACTGCAACCTGCCCCTATGCAATTTTGAATCTAAAATCTTCTTAACTTTGTAATGCGTCTCCTCCAGCACCACTATGGGTTTTGGGGCTGCCCGATCTACTGGCATGATCAGAGAGCCTACCGCCGGCTTTAACAAGCTGCTGTAAAAGACCGGATGCACTTTCCCTAGCAGGTGAGGGAGGCTAAGTTGTACTATAACAGGGTTTATTACCTTCACTATTAGGAAAGGATCTATAAATTTGGGTCTGAACTTCTTGCAAGGGAGTTTTAATTTTAGCTACTTTGTTGAGAGGTAGATCTTACTCCCAACCTGAAACAGCTCTTGGGGTCTGCGGCATTTGTCGGCTTGAGCTTTGTGGGTTTTCGCCACTTCCTGCAGAGCCTGCTTGGTGTTTTCCCACCCCTCCTTCAGAGACTCCATCCATTCATTTAGACATAGGGACAAATTCCATGCCACTAGTGATCTGGAAGGGGCTCAGACCAGTACTGCTGTGCACGGCATTATTGTATGCCACTACAGTGAACAGCAGTAACTCTGCCCAGTTAGACTGCTAATAATTGACATAGAACGGACGTTGTGTACCTGAACATCCATTTTCAGGGCACTGCGACTCCAATCCATGGACGGGTAGTATCTCATAGTTGCTGGGCAGAACTGAGTGCAGATCACTTCCCAATTGGCTGGCCACGCCCACACCGTCCAATCATCTTCAGTCTTTCCTCATGAAGGCTTAGAACGAAGGAACTATGAAAGTCAACAAGAACCAATGTAAAAATAAACAGTAGAACAGGCAGACCCAGGGTGGGTATGGATTGGAGTCGCAGCGCCCTGAAAATGGACGTTCAGTACGCAACGTCCGTTTTCCATTGCGCTGCTCCTCCAATTCATGGACGGGATGTACCCAAGTTCAATTGCCCTGGGTGGGGGGCTGACTGTCGCCCTCTTCTCGGGTCGTGGCCACTTGTTGCAGAACCCTGCATCCAAAAGCAGCATCAGCTGAAGCATACTTGTCAATTTTATAATGTCTGATGAATGAGGAGGTCGAAGCCCACGAGGCCGCCCGACAAATGTCCAGGACGGAAGCATTTGTTGACCAAGCTGCCGAGGCCGCCGCACTGTGTGTTGAGTGTGCATAAATCTTAGCCGGACGAGGGCGGGCCTGGACATCGTAGGCGATTGAAATGCAGGCCTTGATCCATCGGGCAACTGTATCTGATGAAACTTTACGTCCCATTGAAGAAGGGGTGAATGAAACCAGCAAGGATTCCATCTGACGAAAGGATTCGGTACGCCTGATATAACGGCGAAGGGCACTCCTAACGTCCAAGGTATGCCAGAGAGACTCAGTCTGATGACGAGGATTCGGACAAAAGTAAGGAAGGACTAAGTCCTGCGCCCTGTGGAACCGTGAGTTAACCTTAGTTAAGAAAGTCGGGTCCAAGCGCATCACCACTCTGTCACTGTAAAAGATGCACAAGTCCTTGCGTACTGATAGAGCAGTGAGTTCAGAAACTCGTCTAGCAGACGTAATGGCAAGTAGAAAAGTGACCTTTAGTGTCAGAAATTTTAGAGACACGGAAGCCAACGGTTCAAAGGGCGCGGCGGTAAGAGCCTGAAGTACAAGAGTAAGGTCCCACGACGGGTACCGATGCACAACCGGTGGTGAGATGTTGGCAGCCCCGTGCAAGAAGGCTTTAATCCTCGGATTTTGCGATAGGGTATGGTGTCTTTCACATGTGAGGACTGTCGAGAGAGCGGCCACCTGGTGTCGAAGTGTGGCTGGGGCAAGGCCTTTAGCCAGGCCCCCGTGCAAGAAGTCCAGCACGTCTGGGATATCTGCTGAAGTCGGATCTACGTGGTGCATAGAGCACCAGGTAGAAAAAGCTCTCCATGACGCTTCATAAATCCTAGTGGTTGATGGCCGCCTGGCAGACTGAATCACGTGGATGAGGTCATTGGACAATCTATCTTTTTGCAGTTGGAGCCGCTCAAGCACCAGGCGGTCAATCGGAGCCACTGTGGATCTGGATGGTAGATGACCCCTTGGCTGAGCAGCTCTGTTGTAGGTGGAATCGTCCACGATGGTAAAATGGACAGGCCCATGAGGTCGGCATACCAGGGTCTGCGAGGCCACTGAGGGGCAATCAGGATCAGCTCGGCCCCCTCGAGTAAAAGTTTCCGAATGAGACGTGGAATCAGGGGAAAGGGAGGGAATGCATAGAGGAGGCCTGGAGGCCATGGACAATGTAGAGCGTCGAAGCCTTCCGCTCCAGCGGTTGGGTAGCGCATGTAAAATCGCGGTAGCTGTGCGTTCTCAGGACTCGCAAACAGGTCCACTCGGGGAAGGCCGAACCGGCATACTATCTGCTTGAAAATGACAGGATTCAGTGTCCACTCTGCAGGGTCGATGTGCTCCCTGCTGAGCCAATCCGCGGTGATGTTGGCGTGCTCCGAGATGTGATCCGCCACTAGAGATGCCGTGTGATGTTCCGCCCAAGCCAACAGTCTTTCCAACTCCAGCATCAGGGGCCTGGAGCGTGTGCCCCCCTCCCGATTTATGTGTGCCTTGGTTGTAACATTGTCCATTCGGACTAGCACATGCTGTCCCTCCAAAATCTCGCTGAAATGGCACAGAGCGAGATGAACAGCCCTCAACTCCAGCCAATTGATGCTGTTCGACCGCTCCGCTAGAGACCACTGACCTTGAACCACTTTGTTCTGGAGATGGGCTCCCCAACCCAGGAGGCTCGCATCGGTGGTTAGAACAAGACGGTCTGTCTCGAGGAAGAAGCACCCTTTTTGAAGCGCGGGGGACCTCCACCACGTGAGGGACAGTCGGGTCTGTGGAGGTAGCCAGATCTGATGAGTGGACGTACTGCGTCTCGCCTTCTGAAAAGGTAGTAACAGCCACTGAAGGGGCCGGGAGTGTCTGCGTGCCCATGGTA